TGTTGCTGTGGTGTTCTACTGCCCCACATGGCTAAAAAAAAACAATCAAGTACAGCACAGAATCAAAACAGTAGTAGGTGTGATAGAGTATCATCCTGCATGTACAAACTGAATTACATTTTATTTATTTTTTTTAAATGTGTGCAAGTCCTTGTGTCCCCTACCAGTTTCTGAATATGAGGAATCAGTCATGGGAGTGTCTGGAGACTGGCAGCGAACTAGACAACTTGATTCCTCCGATTCTTCCTCCATCACTGCATCAATGTCTTCCTCCTCACCCTCCTTTCCCTGTTCCTCCTCCTCCTCTTCCTTCCCATTGTTGTTGAGAGGGCTTCTTTGGATGAGGCCACACCTTCTTCCCTCCTCATTTTGTGAAGGAGGGAGACTTTGAGTCTGTGTGAGCGTGTTCGTCTCGTTGAGGTTTCGAGTTTGGGCAGTGAGAGCATCGGGACTGGGAAGGTTATCACAGAGGTCAACCCCGCCTCCACGAACCTGTGACATTACACTGTCCTCCCTCTCAAACTGACCTGAAGATGAAAGACAAAATAAATGATCAGTTGCAATCACAACTAGAGCAATGGAGTAAGAAATCCAAGGAACAATGATTTCTTCTTCAGTATGAAGGTCCTTCAGATGACCTTGACTCTACACATCAGACCATCATTGCAACTTGAGACAACAGCAACCACAGCATAAAAAAACACAACACCCAACACTCCCGTCCTCATTATCAGCTGCTTCTATTTTCACTGCAAAACACATCAAAATTGTATTTTTTTTATTGTGGTAACTTTGTAACATAATTCAAGGAAATGTAAACATTCACCGCCATGATCCATTGGGCTCCACCTTAACAACGGTTGACCTTTCAGCTCGAGGGTCAGCGCCGCCTGTTAGACCAGCCCTTCTTCAAACCTGCAGAGATAAGAGACAGAGAACAGGTAGACATGAATGACACGAAGTATGAGAAACACTGGCATCGTTAAACTCTACTCTCAACAGTGAGAGTGCGAAAGGGAGGAACACAAAACTAGTTTAGCATCATTCCCAAGCTGTCAAACCAACCCTTGGGCATAAAGAGATTCTTTTTTTTAAAGCTTCTGAGTGCATAGGGCGCAACACTCCAACCACCACCTTGTGCTGCAAAGGAGTACCTGAGTACCCACAAGTGTATTAATTTACATGCTGATTGTACGACATTATGAGGATTTTGGAAATAAACTGTTGAGATACAAGCCTCATAATGATAATATAATACCACAGAAGAGCTTAAATGGCAAGTTAAAAATAGTAAAGTTTGAAATTTCACAACCTGCTGACTAGTTTAAAAAAATAACAATCAAGAAAGATTGTTTCTGCAAAACAACAACTGAGACATTAAGCACAGGCAAAGAAAGTAAGAGACAGAGTGTGACACAAAGATATTTACAAGTTAGCTCAGGATTTATGACATGGGAGGTGAAGTTGCTGTTAGAATTTACAGCGTGACCCTGGAGTAGAAACGAAAAAGGTCACATTTTACAGACTGAGATGCAGTAAATGACATGTTTTCCGCCTCATTTACATATATAAGGGTAACAAAATATTGGAAACCAGAGTACAACAAAATCCAAATCAGCAATAGCGCTACAAATTGCCTTACAAAACACTTCACTGACGAAATATTATGAGCTTCCCAAACAAAGGATTTATTGGAAGGCTGCTCTGAACAAGAATGTACTGGTGTACAAACTGGAAAAGCAGTGTACAGTGTAAATCAATACTGTGCAAGAGCAGGCTTTTTATGCCATACTTATGTTCACTATTGACTCAGCAACACAAGGACAGACGCAAAAACCCCTGTTATGTCGCTGTCAGGTTGTTTGTCATGTTAAGAATACAAATAACTGCATCCTGTAAATGAGACAGATGCAAAAAAAAAAAGCTTGCACAAAGCAACCAGTGTCTTAACTTTTCCGTTTGGCATTGATTCTACCTGCAAGTTCCTTCTCTGGGCTTAACCTAGACTATCCAGTGGAGACACAGACACTTAGTCTTTATCTGATAGGTGTAGGAGAGACAGACAGAGAATGTGGGAGAAGCTAGAGGAATGACCACTTGAAGAAAAAGTCTAGCTGGCTGGGAAATCAAACTGGGGACTGACAGCATTTTCACAGAGCAGATATTTTATCATAGCTAAATAAATCAATTATTATCGTATTAAACCAATGGTTTCCCACAAAGCATTGCACTGTCTTTGCTCCCAGTTATTTATTGTAATTTGCATGACCAGTCATAATATAGCAGCCACTGACCACACAAATCATCTCTTATTTCATTTGGTAGTATTTTGATTTTATCAGATGATAAAATCCAAAACCTCCACAAACACAAATCCAGGCTAATAAAAGGCCATCTCAGAGGAGTAAGGCTGCCCTGGTTTCCTGCAGCACTAAGCTAATTGCTCTTCCAGTAACCCTGTACTGCCCTGACAGGCCAGACATTTAAAGAGAAAATGTAAACAGCAGAAACATACACAAAGCATCATTTTGTCTCTATGTGTCTATAGTCTTACTGAATTTATTACAGACATTTGTGTAAAAAAGATATGTTAACATATAAGTGTCCAGAGAAATACTCCATAGAGACGAGTCCATAAACAAATCAACAACGACGATCACTCGCTCTCGCCAAAGACAGATGACAACCTACAGACAGCTGAGACCACCTTCTCTAGATATATTTTCACAAGAGACAACACCTTCTGAATAGGAAGTCTGTTTTCCCTCCGCAATAATACTAATATTTTGAAAATCCTTCTTGTCACGCTAAGATTTAAACAGCACTTTGTATTGGATGAGAGACTATTCTTTACGGTCTAGTAATTACTCAAAGCTCTGCACATCCCCCTGGAAGATAAACAGTCCCAGACCATGACAAACAACTGTGACACTACAGCTTACGCAACAAAACCCCTGAGTTACAGTTGACACAGGTGTTATAACACCTGTCTAAGGCGTTTCTATTGCTTTGTACATGTTGTTTTTCTAAATCTACAGTATCTCTTAATGTCTCTCTCCCACTAAGCCATCTGTCCACACAACCATCCGTCCTCTCCTCATTTAGTCTGAGCCCTACTCCACAGGGGACCATGAATAATGAAAGACAGAAGAATGGACAACCGGTTGAAGGGAATTCAGCCAAAACAGACAAACAGTGAGGTGGAAAAAGAAAACGGACCCTGTGCTGTGAGAGGCCACTGCAAAGACAGTGAGACAGAGCAGAGCTACAGACAGACACACAGCCAGTGAGCTGACACATGCAGACTGTACTGTGGGACAGGCAGTCTGCCAGCTTGTGTTTACATGTAAACATAGTAAAAATGAGCTTTAAAAAAATATCTAACAAGCTCGCAAATGAGACGTAAAATGTTTACCGTAAATGCTCCCATCATTCATAAAGGTGGGGCATTGGTGTTGACCAGTCTCCAGTGTAGGCTAGCAGGTCTCTTTAGCTCTAGCTACACAGTGTGGTGCAACAAACTACCAGAACCGAACCTAGTCCCAATGGAAAAGTTTTACTGAACGTTATGTCCACTTACATTTGGCTAATAAGTCATAAGACATTGTCAGAAAAACACACAGCAGTGACAGCACACAGAGGCTGTCACTTCCCCATACTGACATTGCTTTCTGTAAAGGTTACCTGGCTAGTGACTGCTAGTTAGTAACGTTAGCTGTGTTGGATAACCAGCTAGCCCTCGTTAACTGTAAACTAGCTCGGTTACAATCGTTGAAACACACATTGTTAATTGGTAGCGTTACGCTTTTTGACGGCTTTGTACTGGTTCACCTAATTGCTACCAAACGCCCGAGATAAGCTAACAGCTAATGGTTCGTGTTAAACCAGCTGAATATCGACACTAAACCACCAAAGTGACAAATTAGTTTAGTGTACGTTGCTATTTAGCTAACCTAAGCTAACACTCTACAGTGTTCACATCTGGCCGCGGCGCCGTGAAAACCTTTTTAAATGTATGCTTTGATTAGCATCACAGATGTGCGCCAGCTCTAACGTCTTCCTGTCCTTTGTGTCTGCTGCGACACAAACCAGTTAAACGGTACTTACGGCTAAAAACGGAGGCTGAACAGTAGAAACTGGAGCATCAGACACCTTGCTGGAGATGTTGTTGTAAGGACTGTAAGCTACCAGCAGACAGCCAGGGGTCGTTGCTGCCGCTGTCATCAGGCCGGAGCTGTGCTGCTGCTGCTGGGGGAGCTGACGGTGGGAGAGGCGCGCTGCCGCCATCTTGTGTCTCACCACAGTCGGTACGTTGATATATTTTTATTTTATTTTCTTTCTTTATTTATTTTTTTATGTATTTGTCTCAGTCCAAATTAAAAATCCAGGCAGTTTTTAAATCTGCCTAGACGAGATAAAAAATTAGATTTGGTTTAGGAGGAAGTAAAATTTTGATTTAGTCTAGACCAGATTATAATCCCATTTATATCATAATGAGATTGTAATCCTGCCTGGGAAAATTTTCAATCTATATTCTCCACACTTCGCCATGTGTGTGAACTTCACCTTAAGAGGTGTGATACATCTTCTGTCGTGTTTAACAGTCATACAAGACTGGTACGAAAACTATATATGAATGATTTTAATTTGGTCTAGGCGAAATCAAAATGTGTCTTGACCAAATGAAAATTTAAATCTGGCCTAGGCAGATTTAAAATCTCCCGTCAACCAAATAAAAATTTCAATCTTGCCTAAACCAAATCAAAATTTTTATCTCGCCTAGATAGATTTAAAATCCGCCTGAATTTCAACTTGGACTGTGACATATTTATCATCCAAGGAAGCTTTTTAACACTGCAAATAATTAAATCCAACCTCCTTTATTAGAACTGTTTTCACCTTAGAATAGTTGTTTGAGGCACAACTTAAAGAAGTTTCTAGAAACCCACACTCCACGAGTTATTAAATCCATACTTCAAAATCAAATCTACCAAAACAAATTTACTGTAAAATAATTTATTTCATTCTTTATATCTTCATACATTTGTGTTATTGCCTCACATATATTACATGAAACCAGATGCTTTCATTTGACTTTGGGAAGCATTTCAAAAAAAGGCAATGCTTTAAAAAAAAAAAAAAAAACATCCTCAAATAACAACCTAAAATGACCAGGTTGTCAATCAAGGCAACCAGGCAAGTGAAATAATAGATTTAGTCTGGCTAAAACACCCATACGCCTCATAATAAGAACACTGATGGTGCAAGCTCACACTGCAGCAGGGCTGGAATTAATCTATGAATCTATGTGGAAATTCTGATTTAATTATGAGTTTAGAAATGTAGCTTACATATTCCATAAAACCTGACATTTCACTTACACTAGCTTATGCACTCAAATGGATATAGAAAAATATACAAGACTTGATGCTATACAGTGAAAAACTTCCTCCTGCGCTGCTGAAGACTGAAAAGCTACACGACATACAGAATGCAGGGTGTATGCTCTGTCAAACTGCCACCACAAAATACTGGAATCCCAAAACCGCAGTTGTGCAAGTTGTTTAAGTGCAACCCATGCACATCTCCAAATCATAACCTCTTTTGCATGACCTGGTGCATCCATGAAGCTTTTTTTTCAGCCTCCTCAGGCAATACGCTGCTGTGTTCATACTGGGATTTATTCTTTAATGGGATTAACACCTTTGTCCAAACAAAGCCTTTAATTCCAGAAAACATGTTTTCTCACACTGGCAGTCAGTTCACAAGAAGTGTCATACATAAGAGCCCAAAATAACCAAACTGAGCTTCTGTTTCAAATCTCAGCTTTTGGGAATTCCAGCTCAGAACAACAGAGACAGTCTGCCCCAGAGTACAGTTTGTTGCAAATGTTTAAATTAATTCAGTAACAAAACCATTAATAATTAACTGTTTGTTTATGTTTCTATCTCTGTTCCATTACATAACACATTTTAAATATATTACATCTTCAGTGTATTATACATAGCTTTGTATGTACCTTCTGTATTTCAAGTGGCTGAGTCTGTTGTTATGACCTGTTGGTGTATATTTTAGCCCCAACCCTCTCTCTGCGTGTTCTCCAAGATCTCTTCATAAAGCCAGCTTTGTGTGAACTCCTGGCTTTTGTCCATCAGCTGAAACAGTCGAAGATACTCCTCTGGGTATACGTGGCCTGTCAGTATGTCCTCTGGCAAGCCCATCTCTGATAACAGCTTACTCCCGCTATCTGGAGACCAGAGACTAGAAAACGACACACACAAGAGGCACAATAAGCAAGAAGAAGAAAAAAAAAAGAAGCTCAGAAGATCTGTCAACTGGATTAGCCTGTATTATGACGACAACATGAATGGCCTCGGTGTGTCTGGAAGTCTTAAGAGCAGTTGTTTGATACTTAACTTTATTTATAAAGCACTTGAACACGACAAAATTAGAAACAAAGTGCTGAACACAAAATCTAAAACAATTTTGAAACATCTAAAGCGCAAAATAAAATAAAAGAATAAGAAAATCATTAAGAAGGACAATAAGAACAGCAAAAACACTAAAACAGGAGTCTGATGTCGGGTCGAAGGTCAGGGCATAAAAATAACAAATGATCCAACATGTGCAGTGCATTGGCCTCTCAGTAGCTTTGTTTGTGTGCATTTCTTACTTGAGCCTGTCGATAAGCTTGACCTTCCTCTTTGCCAAACACTGTTTAACCATCATCAGCAGAGTTGAAGCATTAGACGGAGAGAGGCCTGCAGAGAACAGACTGGCTCGTGGACGCAGGCGCACCAGGCACAGGTGTTCATTGGGAAGCTGAGGGGAGGAGAAGAAGAGACGTTATATTAATTAGGCAACACCATTAAAGTGAATACTGTTGTTACTGAGCCTGCTCTCCTCCTTACACTGCTTTTGTAGCTGGGCACATTCTGTCTTGAAGACACCACAAACGACTCCCAGGGTTCCTGCACAGACAGAGATGAGAAGGTTGAATGCAAAAGACTCAAAATGTGGAACTTTTAGAGGCACAATCCAAGTCAGTCATTTTCAGGAGATATCACAAAAGCCAGTACATCTGCACGGACACCCATAGACTGTATAAAAGATGGATGTAGCTACCGTGACGTCACCCGTTGGTTTCTGCACTGAGAAAATGAAGCCAGGGTTTTGCTACTTCCTGGTTGACATCTTGGATTTTTGGAGCCAGTGATGCAAAAATCGTTGGCGGGGAGCGGAGCCATAGGAGCAGCGATTGATCAGACGGATTGAGAGGCGGGCCCTCTCTGCCCGCCCACATTTACCGCCTTCTGCTCGCTTTATCTGTATGGTCGCTGCCGACTGTCAATCAAGCCAGTCACGCCCCTTGCCCCGCAAAATGTTGATGATTTTTTTTAAAATTCAGTATTGATTTATTTTCAGATTGGCCACCTGATCTCTGGACTTGACCATGAAAACTAATTTTAAAAAAATTCTGAGCTGTAGGAATGTGGTATTTAGTGATCTGTGATCACTTCTTTTCCAATTCAAGTCTATGGGAGCCAGGGCTTTTTGGAGCCAGGACTAGCGGACGTAGGTTTTTGACACTTCCGGGTTGGCTTCATTTTTCAGGGCCGGTTGCTACGTCCATCTTTTATACAGTCTATGTGGACACCAAAGTGTTTTGACCTCCCTCCGTCATACTGTACCTTGTGCAGTAGTTCAATATCACAGGCCATTTGCCAGAGGACACTGAAAGCTCTGTAGTGCATCATTTCACCAGGACGCGACACCAATTTCTGATGGAGAAATAACATTGTTAAATATTTCACACAAGGATAAAAGAAAAAAGCAGATAAGCAACGCATGAGTGACTGGACACTCCTCTCCCTCAGCTTTATCTAGTGGTGGTGGTGTCAGCAATGATATTACAGTTCAGAGCAGGCAACCAAAGCTTATTGTTCCACTGACGGATGCAGCAGTACAACAGTATCTCTCTTGTTGGTTTAAAGCTACCGTACGTGGAATCAGGAGGTCTGCTCATAAAAACAAACACACACCAGCTTTTACTCCATCACAGGGCTGTGCAAGTATGGCCAAACTGATAATCAGTTATTTATCGTGATTATTTACTGTCTGTGAAGATTCTCAGTCATCCAGGTCATGGTTGTTCTGGTAGTTTAATCGTAGCAACTGGACTTGAGTTTAAACGTGCACTCAAGTGTTACTGGCTCCTTAAGGATATAAGTATGTGGAACTCCCAACTAGTCAGTCAGAACTGATGAAGCCTCTTGGATGAGAGGTGACACGTTTTCAAGGAACTCAAGCAAGTCCAGCTGCTACAATTAAACTACAAGAATGATTATTTACTGTTTCAGGGGCAAAATAATTGTTTTCTCTTCCACATTTAACAAAGAAATTACTGCTATAACTTCAATGCTGTGATAGATTCCTGCTAATGTACGCATATTTGCATCAAAATAAGACTTAAACCTAATTTTCTTCACCTCAATTCAGTGTATCTCCTAAAGGAAAAATACAAATAAAATTTAAAAGGTGCTCATCCATAGACAATGCAATTTATCAATATTCCCTAAATACCTCACTAGAAGGCTACAGTAGAAGCTATCTCTGCACACAGAGAAGCCTTTCATCTCCTCACTGCAGTGCAGCAGCTCAGACAGGTGTGTGATCGAAAACTACTCAAACAAAAGAGTGGCATAAGGTGTCTGAATGTCAGATTAACCTGAGCTAAAACCAAATCATTTTATCTACATGGGTTGTTTTCCACAAGTAGAATCCTCTATGAGCAGAGCACGCATTTCAAACATTAATATCTCAGTTACTTCTCTTGATTTAATAGTAGGTAGAAGTTTTGCTAAACTATTCGTACAGCCCTACTCTGTTATCAACTGGTTTACTGGCACTGACAGGTTTAAACACTCGTGTTGTTTTACCAGGTATTCCTTCTCGCTCATGAAGAGGTTCAGCTCTATTCTTCCATATCTGTAGACAGACAGCCGTTCAAACAATGCGTAAACCATCTTCAGCAGCAAGCTGCGCTCATTACGCTGAGGCAGGATTCCTACCACCTTCACCGGGACGTCTGAAGAGAAGCACACATGAAAACATTATCAAACACACACTTTAAAGGGCGGGTACACTACTCAATGTAATGTACAGGATTTATTAAGTAAAGTGTGTTTTAGCGTAAAAGCTACATACCAAACCATTACGCTTACACAATGTGATTTTCTGCCTTCATTGGTTCTAAACACTTTTATTTAAATATTTAAAGCCTGTTAATAGTTGAAAAAGTTCCACTTTTGCAACATTTTAAGCTTATATGTTCAAAGTTAGGATTCATGGCATTGCTAAGCACAAGGATAATACTTATTGTATGAAGGAGATTAGGCTCGTTTGCAGGCAGAGAGGCTCAACTAAAGTTCTTTAGATGAATGTATGTGCATAAGAGGCAATTTGCAACATAGACGTGTCTCAGGCTTGCTGTAAAATGTATGTGTGTGTTTGTAATTTTCTTTCTCACCATCAGTCCAACTAGCTTCTGATATTCCCAGGTCAGTGAACAACTTGTCTGTGAACATGGCTGGGGGTTTCACGTTGCCACTGCCAATGGGGTCCAGTTTAAAGTAGTCGCAATGAAGCACTTCCAGCTGACCATCAAGACGACGTTCCAGGTCCTACAGTAGGAAAACACTGTTTATTTGTCTAACTCCTACACCAAGTAAAAATGTTATTGGAACATATAGCATGTAACTTAATTTGCTAGATTAGAACAGGGGATTTGGTAAATTCTGTGCAAGGACACAAAAACTAGTGGTTAGAAAACTTTGTGTTACCTGTAGCTCATGTAGGAAGGCCTTGTCACCCTCAAGAGCCACAACTCTCTGAGCTCCAGCATTTAGCAGTGTCCTAGTCAACACCCCAGGACCTAAAATAGACACACACAGCCTATCAATATTTACCATTTCACTGACAAGCATGATTTACACCCATGCACATTTTATATTTTACCATTACCACTCCTTCAGGCAAAAGTAACAACTATTTATTTTGTCAATGTCTGTGCAAAGTTCAATGAAACAAACACAGTTACAAATACACACCTGGGTTACATTCGAAGATAACGGTTTTACCATCCTGCAGATCAGGTCCTACATGCTGTGTTATTAAATCAGCCAGGTCTGGGTCCACTATGAAGTGTCTAATTTTTTTACAGGCCAGAGCACGGCGTACATTCTCCTCCACCTCCCCGAGGTCCAGGAAGTCATACCGGCACAGAGGTCGACACTGTCCCTGTAAACAGACACAAACGCACACAATGTAATAAACAACCAACAGCATCACAAGTGAAAAAGCTTGTTATATGTTGAGAAGAACCCCTGTTGATCTGCTTCAGTATTGAAATGCTCTAGTGTATTGGAAAAGGTAGAAATTACGATTGATGTCTGCATTTTATTTGCACACTTCAAGTGGTTCAAGTAGCCAAAAAAAAGAAGATTTGCAACAATGGACAGTATTGGCTAATTGCAGTTGGTTGGGGAAAGAGGTCAGAGCAGATCCGAGTGTATCTGCTGTGCATCTTTACAATCAAGTAAAATCCCTGAATACAGCAAGGTATCTAAATATACAGGCGAAAAGAAAGCTGAAAATAGAGCAGACTCCAGGCAGTTAGAGATTTAGAGTCTTCCAAGTAGCCTGTAAGCCCCCCATAATGCCCTGCCAGGATCTGAAGAAAGACGCTTACTTGAAATGGTTGTAAATGCTACAAAACATTTGGCACTCTAAACACCTTTGTAAAAATGAATCGCTAATTTACACCTCATTTTCAAAAAAAATCCAGAAACACATATCTGCAAATTATGGATGCCATTACTTCTACACATAAAGAGAAGTCAAAACAAGACAGCCACCTACCTGTACAGCTACAGCAGACAGGTTCCTGTGTGTGAGTGCGGACGAGGGGGACGTCCTCTCTGCACGGGGCTGTTGGGAGTTTGGACCGAGCGAGGGCCGACCAGGACCCAGAGAGAGAGAGTCTAGGCTGTAGGCCCTTCTATGAAGCACAGGAGCCCCATAAACACAGAGGCCAGAGGAACTAACAGGGGTAAACAGTGCCTTGCGCAAACAGGATCTACTTGCGATCGTCTGGCAGCAGGCAGAGCGCAGCATCTGCTCCACCACTCTACAAATATGGGTGGACATGGTGGACCAGTGGACATATGGCTCAAAAAGAAGGCAGGGGAGGGGGATTTAGGGATGTCTTTGAGAGGTCACTGCCTAAAGGAAATGGGAGAAAATAGGACAAGAATGGACAAAAATTCGCAAATTGTAAACAGTTACATACATTTCAGTGACATTCACTGACATTCTTAAAAATTCTTGAATGCCTTTTAAACTTAAATTAATTCCCCCCAAAAAACATCATCTATCTCATAAAAGCCAATTTTTTTTTTTTTTTGTTACATCGATCTCAAACATCAAGTTAAGTTCAGGTTTTTTATGCAGTAACCCTAATACAGTCTCTTTAACACGTGTGTACTAAAATGAGTACAACCCGTTCCGTTAGCACGTGGGTAGCCGGGGTGGGATACATGTCTTCTTATTCTTAGCATGTACTGACTTAACCTTCACTGCAGAAATCGCAATAGAAGTGCGCGGACTTTGGTCATCAGATTGCCAAAGAGGCACAAAATAACCTGGCAGACCGTCTGTCCAGTGACCGGGGTTGATAGGCACAACGTCAAAGTTGTTAGCTCACCGGCTAGCAAACGGCTAACGTCATAAAAGGGTTTACGTGAAACAGTGATTTAATCGAGAGAAACACAAACATACCTCAGTGCAGAATGTCTTATATTTCCAAATGCGACGACATCAGTGCTTTAAAGCTGGCTCTTGTCTGGCTGCTCGCTGGTAAAACTGCGTGACATTGAGCCCGCTGCATCCTGACCCTCCGTACGGTGTTTTTGCGACTCTCGTGGTGCTGCAGTCGCATTGAAATGTCGTCATGGACAGGCGACCTAAGCAAGGACCAATCACAAACTTGAGGAAGTAGTCGGGCTAACATCGATGGCTATCATACGAAAACGAATAAAAAGAAACTAGGCAATCGAGGTTCCGTGCATGTCACGCATTTTGAGAAAGATATAAATTGCCTCAAAATACTAATTTAATAGAACACACTTTCTTTGCTTATTTTGTTTTCGGTAGCTAAAAAAACGACTGCTTTTGTCAACGTCTATTAGCATATTAGCATATTCGTGCTACGGAAGTAGACAAAGGAGCGCTGTCAAAACCGCACGCTGCTTGCTTCTCCTGTCACTCTGGATCCTGCTCAGAGGAGGAAAGTGTCGCAGTGAGACTCTCCGGCCTGTCTGCTGTCACTATGGCGCGAGTTGAAACATCCTCCAGCAGGCCGTACCACCTGGTCATCTTCGGAGCCTCCGGCTTCACGGGACAGTTTGTGGTGGAGGAGGTGGCCCGGACTGTGTCCGAAGGTCCGAAGGGGAACCTGAAGTGGGCCGTGGCCGGCAGGAGCAAGCAGAAGCTGGAAAAAGTTCTGGAGCAGGCCGCTGGAGTCCTCAGTATGTATTTGAGCAATCCTAGTAGTCGTGCATGAAACAGCAGATTGTTTCTAGAAGTACTTCTGAAACAAGAATCACCTTTCATGTGATATGTTAAAGTCAGACAATGCAAGAATATTGTAGTTTTAACCGCCCTTTAGTCAATGTCCAAGAATACTTTGCCAAAGACATACAACTAGAAATTGCTTAACTCGGACTGAAGATAATAAAACAAGCTCACTGATGGTGATTTGTTTGACTGAACTCCAAAGTGCAGGCGATGTTGCAACAAAGGTTAACTGATGATACAGTCACATAAAGTAATAGCGACTTTTAAATCAATCTTTTACAGAGTTACATATCTAAAAGTGTATAAACTAATAAAGGGATATTTTTATATGTAGTTGCTTGGTCAAAAGTATTTTTGTGGAAAGACACTGTGACTAACTGGAGTTGTGGAGTTGACATTTCTGTTTCATGAATGATTAATAATTTTTAAACTATATTTTCTAATGATCAGTTTGATTTGAACAGCAATAATTGTATTTGAATATTCCCAAACCGTAAGTAAGCACTGGAACTAATGATTAGTCTAATCAACAATTTATTGATTGATTATTTCTTTCAATCAGATTAATTTAGTATTTCTTGTTTAAATTGTGCAAAACAGCAAAAAAAAAAAAAAAGAGAGAGAGAGAAATTCTGTGATCTGAAAAGCTGTAGCCAGCACATCTTTTGCATTTTACCTGATTAAAAATTTAAATTAAAACTTAATTATGAAGATATATATAGCAGTTGATATATACTCTATTGATTAACTGCTCAGTTAATTATTATATTAGCTCCGACAGAAATAGAAATATAATTCACCTGAATGCTTCTAATATGCAGAAGGGAATAATAGATATTTACTGAATATATTTGGCACGCCAATTTTGCAATTTGTATCTATGCAACACTCTAAACATGGAAAATTAAATCCATCCCTAGATCAAGACCAGGCAGCGATTCTGCTGTCATGTCAGTAATGCGAGTTTCCAGAGGATTACAGAGTTATTCTGTTGGAGCCCCCTCTTTGGCTTTCTCTTCAGGGAGTGTACAACAGCTGATGGAACATACCAGCTCACTGTACAGTCCCTGTCCGGGACAACACACAAGGTCTAGACGCTAAACAGAAATGAGTCTTTGCTCCCAGAGGCTTCAAACAGTGACAGTTACATATTTAAAACGACTTATGTTGTTTGTAAATGGTTTGGCAAGACCTTATCTGAGACCCTTTCCTCCAGTGCATTCGTTATCTGCATTCTTTTGTGTTGTTTCTCCTTCATTTACTGTGTTTTCATTTTCACACTGAGACATCACACCTGTCTCCTGTTTTTAGAGGGTACAATGAGACTAATTTCGTCACTGTGTACATGTTTCTATTCATTGATTGAAAGTCATACTGCAGTGGTAATGAGCCGCTATGTTTTACTTTCAAGCTTCCCCACAGAGTCGCTGCTGCATGTCAGTGATTCTGTTTCATCTTCGTTCTCCACAGATCTGGAGATGTGACCGCTTACTGCCGCGTATAACCATAAAATTAAAATGTTTAACGTCCTGTGTAATCATTTAATGAGTGTGTTAATTGTCTTAATGAGAACAGTCTCATCCTGACAAAGTATCCCACACTGCTATAGTCGGCTTGCTTCATCTTTTACCTTGTATTTCCACTCAGAGCCCAGTGTTCCTGTTTAGTGTTATTTTTTTGATCTTTATGTTACACTTTTAATTATTTTCTGTTCACATTTTAGGCCAGTTGTTGCCCATTCACCCACCTATTCAAATACAGACTTTCAGGGGACTTCCTTTTATTTTTATGAGGACAAAATGACTGAACTCGCTGCTTTGGATCTCTGGTTGAGTAACACTGTAATGGAAGTGGCATGATGGCTGTAGTCATGCTGAGTTAATGCCAGACACTGAAAGTACATCTTGTCATTGGACTTTAATTTAAATGAATAATATGGCTTCATGAATAATTTTAATTATGTGAACTATGAATCTGAGAATTTGATGGTAGCATTTGTACAAAAATAGGTTACAGCATCTATCATAGTGTGTGTGTCCCTGTGTGTGTGTGTGTGTGTGTGTGCAGGTAAGCCCGAGCTGAGATCAGAGGTGGACATCATCGTGGCAGATGTAGGAGAACCAGACTCCCTAGCAGCTATGTGCAAACAGGCTGTGATTGTTCTCAACTGTGTGGGGCCTGTAAGTAGACGATTCCACAGAAATGTGTGCTCCTGTTTATTTGTCTTTAACACACAGAGCTCGCTCCGTCACACGACACAGACGAGTGTTTCCTCGCTTAGTGTCACAACACTGGCATGCTGGCATCTCCCTTTGCCATTAGTGTAGCTTATCAACTTATCCACATCCTTTTCTCTCTCTGTCTCCTCCTCCTCTGTCTTTCTCCTTCTTTCTGTGTCTCTTTTGCTTTCCCTTTCTCTCTCTCTCTCTCTCTCTCTCTCTCTCTTCACACACATAGAGCAGCCTTCATTTACACAATGAAGGCCACTGACTTACAGTGCACAATAAGTCATATTGTGTTAAAATGAGAATGGAGAGTAGGTTTCCAGCACCGCTGCACTGCAACTTGTACATCGTCCTTGGTTTGTGTTACAAACCAAATTCCACTGCCACAGTGAGCTCCACTGTTGCACACAGCAGCAGTTTGCCAGATTCATTTAAACCAAAGCACCGAGTTTAGGCCAAAAGGACGCAGGAGGTTTTGTTTTTCTCCTCAAGTCATTTTTTCCTGAATGACTGCAAACCTAATAAATGTGTTATCAGCTTATCTAACCCTTGTGTGTCTTATGTAATCTTTTTTTTTTTTCTTTTGGTCAGTTGATTTATTGATTCAACATTTTCGGGGGAAAAAAACATCAAAGCGACATACAACATGAATCACACAATTAACAGCAAAAAACAGAGAATTATTGCAAACAACAACGAACACTAACAAACGAAAAAAAGATCAACACTCTCCCAAACCCCTGGGTCCCTCACTAACAAGAACACAACCAGATGCAATGGCTCGATCCTCACCTCTGGTTTTTCAGCGGCTGATAGCCATACAGCAATATTACACTACTTAATATCTTCACATAAATTAATTCAAGTGACATGAAAATTCTACTGATCATCAAGAGATTTTCTGGATGTTTCCACCTCATAGCAACCAATTCCTTGCTGCAGTAAGGCCAGCAAGAATATCACTGTTACAGACACAGTCATAGTCCAGGAGAATATATCTGACAACTGAGAGGACACCTTGTTCCAAAAATGAGAAACAGGCAGTCAATCCTCAGACATAGGAAGAAGTGTTACAGGAGCCCCTAAGGAACACAGTGTACAATAGGAATCAGCCAGGAGATTGTCTTATATAATATTCTAGGAGCAGGAACTCTGGGTGCTAATCAGTAATGGTGTAACTCGCTCTGCAAGTTGGTCTGTGCAGTAAAACTTCAGTCATCCTTGTGCAGACAATCAACCGATGGAAGATGACTTCAAAAGGTTGCAAACAGAGGGTCTACTCATAAGAATCATGTGGCTGTCGTGTAATGAAAATATCAGATCTGCTTAAACACGCGAAAATACTTTGCTTTGAACTTGTTTTATATAAAAAAGATCACATTTACGCATCTGACTATGAACACGCAAATCTTTTCTGATTCAAAAGCCGTAACCTGCGACACAGAAAGGCTGCTCTCATTTTATGATCAAAGGAGCCTCCTCATTTCAGCATTAATTACATTTATTTCAACCCAGATTTTAAGCAAATTCAGAAAAAACTTTCAGCAGAAGGATATGAAAACAGCCTTAAAGCTATAAACTCATTCAACATCCAAGAAATCTAACATTGACCAGAACAAACTCTTGATTGTAGAGGGTCTTTGAATTTATTCATTCCTCAGTAATAGACATACGGTTGACTTTCTTAAAGTATTACCAGAAGCAGAACATTGTAAAGTCCATTTACATACAGAATATGTAGCTCATCTGTTGTATTTGCATTCTTGTCAGCCTGCCTGATGATGAAGTGGTGTGTAGGACATGTTTGCACGATGAACAAGTTCGACAAGATCTGGGTTCTGCAGCAGCACACTTTTCTGAGTGTTTCTGTGTGAAAAGCCACCCATGAATCATATGTTGTTGCAACACTGGAGGCACCTGTGTGGAGCAGGATTGGACCTAAAGTGAACGTAGTCGCTGGCAGGTGAAAATAAGTAGCTGACAGCCTGATGTCCTTATCGCCAGACTAACAAACATTTAGCAGTGACAAGGAGTATACATTCTGGGATGTTGGCTGTCAGTCAGAGTAATAAAATGAAATACTACTACTAATAATAATAATGTTTGTTTGTGTGTCTATAGTACAGATTCTATGGCGAGCCAGTGGTCAAAGCATGTGTGGAGAATGGAGCGCACCACATTGACATCTCTGGAGAACCTCAGGTATGTAAAGTGCTGCAGTGTATGTGTGCGGTTATATTTGCCCATCTTTTGGTTTGACATGTAACGAGGTAGGTGTATTAATTACGACATGGATGTTTACTGAAGAATGTGTATTTCATGCCTCTTCTTTCATCAGCTTCACACCAAACTAAAAGGACTGAAGCCCTGAACTCAAACACAGATACAGTATTTTATGCTGACTGCCATATAATAATAATCCATTACCATAGTGTTTGTGACTTTAATCAAGTGTATGAATGTTGCCCTGCAGACGTCCTAGCGTTCAGCTTTGAACTTGTTTGTATTTGGATTAAATGGGAGACATGCTGATTTTCATGCTGTAGCCTGTTAGACTAAATTATCTCTAACTTGGCAGGATGACAGCAACTGTTCCCTTGCTGTCAGGTGCTGGTGTGTGTAATGCAACATGTCTCCCTGAAACACAGTCAGCACTGTGACAGCCTGACTTGAGGCTGGATGTGTGCTTAGAGGCTGCGTCTCCGTTTCCCCTGAAAGCCAAACAAACTATCCCTCCTTCAACACATATTCTTCCTCCTCCACTGTTTTCCTCAATGTGTGTTCAGTTTATTTTGTGTTTTTTAGCAGAATGTTTTCTTCGTCATTTCATGTTCAGTTTAGACAGTAAAAATGTCACAGTTATGAAAAGTCTCAAATCTGTCGAATTACAAACAATATGAAGTAATCGTTCAATACTTAATATTAGCATTACTACACATTTATTTATTTGTGTTTCTGTCTGGCTGTGTACAGTTTCTGGAGGGCATGCAGTTGAACTACAACAGCCAGGCAGCGGACAAAGGCGTGTACGTCATTGGGAGCTGTGGGTTCGACTCCATTCCTGCAGACATGGGAGTCCTCTACACCAGAGACCAGTTTAAGGGTATGCACATATTGACACACACACACACACACAATAGAATTAAAATTGAAGCCCACTGTGACACTGATATGCAGTTACACACACACACACACACAATAGAATTAAAATTGAAGCCCACTGTGACACTGATATGCAGTTCATGTTTTATTCATTGTCATGTTATCCTCTGCCAAAAATTGGTGTGTGTGTGTTTGCCTGCAGGTACACTGTCTGCAGTGGAGAGCTTCCTGACCGTCGCCTCAGGACCTGAAGTATGTAACTACATTACCCATAAAGCCACAAACTGGACCAGCTTCTTGCTGATCCTTGATCATACACATTCCTCTGTACTTAGCCCTCTAACGTTCTTTTTCTGAACTTTGTAGAGTTATTTCTCATATTTATATGGCAGCATCACATTTTTTGTTTGTTTGTTTGTTTGTTTTTTACAGGCATCTTGTTTGTCCTCTAATAATATTTATGGCCTCCATGTTTTCTCCCTCTGGTTGTGTGTGTCCGTCTGTCTTTCCTCTGACAGGGTGGATGTATTCACGATGGCACATGGCAGTCAGCCGTCCATGGTTTTGCAGACAGCCAGAAGCTCCAGAGTCTGAGGAGGAAGTTTAATCACAAACCTCTCCCTACTGTGGGCTCAAGGATTAAACGCAGGTACAACGGCCAATAATGCCTTTTTTCCACCACTCCATCCCATCCTTTTTCCTTTTCCATTTTTCTTAGAATTTGGCTGCCTCAGAGTAAATAGTATGTGATGACTTACAGATTAAAAGTCAGGGTTTACATTCAGAGAAAATAAATGTAGGCCAATCTACAAGTTATCAGAACACATTTTAGAGATGGTATGTCATTACCAGAGGCTGTTGTCAAATCCTGTCCTGTCCTATGTTTCCATATTTAAGAACGGGACCCTAGAAACTGTCACATGTCTAGCATTGAAGCCTCCAGCTGTGACAAAGATTTTTTTTTCTGTGCGTCTCTTCAGACTGCATTGCCTACAGCAAAGACAACCAAGCAATGATGAGCAAAGACATTCCTCTTGTTGTTGTTGTATGTTCTTGAAAACAGCGATGTTGCATGAGAAGGTACATAATGTCAGAAGAACCTGCTAACTTATAGAGATATTGCTTTAAAGAAGTAAAAAATTAAAATAAAAAAACAGCAACATCTCAGATAGTGTCGTTTCTATTTAAAATACTTGAGATGAAGAGATATTTATTTGTAGAATATAATAAATTTGATGTTTAAGAGGGAGAAATGTGTATGAAGTGAGACTTTTATGGTTGAAAAACAAACCAGTCAGTGCTCTCTGGTGGACAAACTGTGAAGAGTGGTTGGTATGTTGGTTGTTTCTTGTTAGTTAGGAGCCATCATTACACCGTGTTGTTTTGATAACATGGTAATATCCAGTAACATTAGTCTAATGTATCTGCTGGGCTCTAAATTTTGGGCGAACTAGTAGATACATGCAGAATGCCTTGTATTTGGACCTATGCCTGCTATAGACTAAACATCTTTTGTCTCAAGGTTAAATCACATAATGTACTGAGCATGTACGACTGTTTGCCCCACACATATTTTTGTGTAATCTTTTTACAGCATGTGTCTGTGTGCATTTGTAGGGGAACATTGTTCTTCAGTAATGAGATCCAGCAGTATACCGTGCCCTTCATGGGCTCTGATCCCTCCGTTGTGAAGAGAACTCAGCGATTCCTGGTGGAGGAACATCAAGCCACACCAGTGAGTCTCATCTTTGTTTGTTTTTGCTGTTCTGCCTTTACATTGTCTGTTCCTTTTACTCAGACTAGGGTTAAAATTACGCCAAGTTAATTCATGTGTTAGTAGAGGAGCATCACAGATACCCAGGTGTATGGAGAAGTTGGGATTGTTGACTAAGCAGGAAAAAACGACTTCCTTATTTCCTTTGGACAACATTTGAACAGTGCCGAGAGCAGTGTCAACATGTTATCTGGCGGCTCTAAGTGGTTCAAGGAAATCATTTGATCTCATTGTTTGACTCCGAAGTAATTTACTTTTGACCCAAGGAGTCATCACAGTGTGCAGAAACACATCTTTGAAAGTCTTGCATTTCTAATTAGAATGATGCAGCGTGTATTTTAATGTGTTATTCTCAACCCCAGGTCCAGTATGGAGCATATGCAGGAATAGGAGGTGTCGGGAGCATCATCAAGCTGATGTTTGCTGGCATGATGTTCTGGTTCTTAGTCAAGTTCAGCTTCGGACGCAACCTGCTCATCAAGGTAGACCGACACCACATCTATAAAAACGATGTAACGCAATACAGTTTTTTTGTTTTGTTTTGTTTTCACAAGCAACTATAGCTAAATAGTACAGAGTAGACACCTCCTCTGTGTTTGGACATGTTGGATGCTCATGTCTGTTTGTTTTTCTTGCCTCTTCAGCACCCAGAATTCTTCTCTTTTGGAGTCTTCTCCAAGGCTGGACCAACTAGAAAGCAGGTAAAGTGTTGACTAAACCAGAAAATTAGAGGCTTGTACACTCAAAACAAAATTTATTAGGATAAATGCATGCTAAGGGTACGATGCTCTGTTTTCAGCCATGTTGTCTGTGCGTGTCCCTTCCTGTATTAGATGGAGGCTTCATCCTTCCAGTTTGCCTTCTATGGAGAGGGCTACACAGAGGAGCAGGACCCCTCACAGGGAAAACCTAACGCCAAGATCCGCACACTGGTTCAAGGACCGGGTAAGAAGAAATAAAAGATTTCTGTATAATGCAAAGCCTTGTCCTTGATGTAACTGAAATACTTGGCTTCCCAAAAAAAAAAACAGCTTTGCTTGTTGTTATTACCTGATTGGAAAATACTTTATTTAAGAATGCAGGACACTGCTGTAGTGTGAGATGAATGCTGACTTGTTCCTGTTCTGTCCAGGCTGGGTAATGAGATAAATTAGGCTAGCCTTGTCTTTCCTTCTTCACTCTCTTAAATCGTCTCTCTGTTCCTACCCAGAGTGTGGATATGTGGCGACGCCCATCGCCATGGTGCAGGCTGCCCTAACAATCCTCAACGAACCCACAGCTCTGCCCAAGACGTGAGTAATCCCACCTCAGACCTGCTGCCGGACCTGGAAATGACTTAATGCTCAAATACAAAACACACCAAGAACTTTTTTAGTTCAGCTTGTCACTTTGTACAATTTCTTTGCTGTTCTCAGGCAAATTTCTGCTTATTTGTACAATTCTACCAGATTAGCTGTTATGAAACTCAGTACCACATGTTTAGTTGAGTTCTATTAGATTCAGTCAGTCTAGCCAGTCTGTGCAAAATGGGCGTTTAACCTCAGTCCCAAAGGCATTATGCAGTAGTTTAATACGTTTACACAGCTACATGGTGATGAGACATGTCCTATTGCAATGGTGCCAAACAATTTAAAAGTTCTTCTGTTGGTTTTGATCAGTTTTTTATTTATTTGTTCATTTTCCAGGGGTGGCGTTTACACTCCAGGAGCTGCTTTTGCAAAAACCACACTGATCGACCGCCTCAACAAACACGGCATCCAGTTCTCTGTCATCTAAAGTTCGTCCCCTCGCTGATGCTCGTACCCCAGGTTTTTGTGAGCACTTACTAATATGCATTGTAACAACTGGGAAGTTTCCAGCTTCAGAAGGGAGCCATCTAATCACAAGAGAGCCGTGACGACAGGTGGTTACACGCAAAGATGAAGTCCAAACATTGTTTTTGATGGCACTTGTGGCATTTATCCTTTTCATTTAGTCAGAAACTTGCCAGTCTCTTTTCGGCTTGAATGTACTATTAACATTCTGCTTGTAAAACAAATAGCACAACTGCTGCTGCAGCGTCTCCTCGCCAAGGATGGAAACAGAACCGCTGTGTGTAAATGGGTTCAGCATGGTCCTCCACTAACATGATTATTGCCAATCGAAGAGGAATTTGGGACAAAACTTGGTTCACTTCATGTCTTCAAACACAGAAAATAAAAAAATATTAATGTTACACTGTCATTCATATTTGTATGTAATTGGATTGAAAAGAGAAACATGAACTTATATAAGATTGGTTAGTGGCATTTTATACAAATACAAGATCTAAATGTGTTTAAACAATGATTTTCTAATGAGACTACATCCATAACATAGAAGTCTGTCCCTAGCTGTCATACATTCATGTTGAAGTCTCTCTCGGTTTAAACCTGAGTTAGACGCTTGGACCACAGTTAAAAATCTCCCTTCAATGATCCGTGTTACTTTACAACAGTATTTTAGGCAGACATTAACTGTGATTGTCGTATGTGGCAGAGTAGAGGAGGTGAGGTAGGCAGTAAACAGAACAATAGCTGTTGTAAACATGATTAGAAAAAAATGTTTTCATAAAGAGTTTACCTGAAGATGTCATCAGCTGTTACTGGGTAAAAAAAAAAACTTCTACATTCTTCAAGTGTTGTTCCTGTAACATACAAAAGGTTTATACGTAGAAGGACAATAGTAAGTAGCCTAACATGATCGTGGTACATGTTTTGTTCTGGTTCAGTGGAGTTTGAAGAGAACATGCTTGACTTTCCTGGCCTGTTGAGTAGAATCTTGTTTGCTTGTTTTCAGACAGTTAACAGTAGAACTATCCTCTGTTGAATGTTCCTTTTTTTTTTTTTTTGTCAGAATGTTTCAAAGATTCAAACATTTGCTTTTGAGCCTCGTCGCAAAACGCATCCAGTTGCTTGTGCACCAAATGGCATGAGTCGCTCCGTCAGACTGCACAGATCCTCTCTGCTGATTAGACGTTAAGTGAGTGAAACAATTATTTTTATTTCACTCTTCAGGACTGGAATAGTTGCACCAACAGTGACAGTGCAGACTTGTCTTTCATGTTTGAGCGTTATGTGCACGTGGCGTTTCTTTTCGGGTTATGTTTTGGTGTGCTTTGCTTTGTGTGGGACTCATAAATAAAGCCAACTCTGCAAATACGAGGAAGTCTTTTGTCTCTCTCAGTACACCGTCATGGTAACATATAAGTGATGTCACCTATTTCTCTAAAATGCAAAGTAATTGGTTCATTTTCAAAATATGTGTGTAAATCAATAGCCCCTGATCCTGAACCTCCTTCACATGACAGGTCAGTGTTTCATAATTTACAGACACATTTTGAAACTGAACCAATTACTTTACATTTTAGAGAAAGAGGCTGTTGTATAAGATCACAAGGTTAGTTTGTGAACTACTAGACAGCGGTACTCTTCATTGTGCCACTGTAAATAAGAGAAAACAAAAAACCTAAAGCTTTATTTAAACAGGAGACACCCTGTTTTACTTTGTTTCCATTAAGCTGTGAAACAAAAATGACATTTTCCCTAATTAGCTGAGAGCAGTAGCACAAGAAAACCTGCAGATGTCAGTAGAAGCTTTCAGCATATTCCAAAAAAACTTTGTTTACTATTAATGTGCTGATGCCTGACAGATCAGAGATTCAAATGTACAGCACTTTGATGAATGCACAATATTTAATATATCTTACATTAGACGTCACTGACTGTATTAAAAGTCTGCACATTTTCCTCGTACATTGACCTCAAGCCCATGTTGCTGCTGGCTCTAGTCTGCCCTGACTGCTCTCGACCTTTGGTTGGCAGCAACATGCTGTATTTACTGTCATCTGACAGTGATCGCTATGACAGTGATTACAAAATACCTTGAATAAATGTCATCATAAACCTGCAAAGTAGGAGAATCCATTTGAGCTTTGTGAAATCCAACTGTTCAGGCCTCCTCTCTCCTCTGAATCGAAAATCTATTGTCTCAGTTGGGTTGTTTCTGAGATACTTGACTGTTTGAGACTAACAGCTCAACTGTACTGCAGAGTTTTCTACCCTGCTGTGTTGATCATGAAGGGAAAGACAAGAAGCTACCTAAAAGAGCTGACCTGCTGTGTTGGTCTCCATGGCGACGAGTTACAACATCTTAGAGACGTGGCAGCCCCGTACCCTCGTTTACATGTCTGACTTTTAAGTGACATTATAGGAATTAACAAGTTAACTGTGCACAATCAGAGTTAAAAATAAAAGGGGATGGACTGGAAATGAAGCACTAAATGTATTAGCAAAATTCAGATATTTATTCATAAAAATATACAGTTATCTCTTTTACAAGACAGTACAATGCTCATGACTAAAAACTGTAGAAAGGTGAATTAATTTACCCGCACAGTTCATCTTGGCCACTGCTTTGGTTAAACAAGACGTCTGTTGCCATTTAGTTTATGCAACCAAATCACACACACCACGGATGTTTCATGTTGATCCATCTTCCAGTCAGCATTTGTTGTTCACACTGTCTCCTGGTTCAGCAGCTGGTGGGAGTAGACGACGTCTTCATAGTGGTATTTCTTTGCTATCGCCATGATAGAGTCATGACACCTGATTTTACTGAGAACCTTCAGAACTTCTACCACAGCAGACCTACAGCAGACAGACACAAGGTTTGGAAAACACAATTACAGCCATGTCGTTGTTTTAAATGCTTGGAGAAAAAAAGCATTATATTAATAAAGATAATGACAATCGAGTAAATTATTTTTGGTCACATTTTCGCCACCTGGAAAGTGGTGAAGCTGCAGAAAAATATCTGTCCACCAGCAGGTGGACCTTGGAGTCTTTTTAAACATGAAATGTTCAAATAAAAATGAATCTATGTATTGTGAGGGTTTTCCTGATGAGAAGATCTTTTATTCCATTTTACTGTGATCTAATCAAAACCTTTCCCACAGAAACAGGTGTTGCTTTATTACCTGGTGCTTGGATCTTCAGCAGGCTGGTGTTTGCAGATGGTATGAACGTTCTGAACGATGTGGTTTCTAAAATTCTGGAGCTGAGGCAAACACACGCTCTCTCCTTTGAACCATGAGAGTGGCAGACTGTCTGCTATCTACAGAGAGAGAAAGCAGTGTGAGGACGAAGGTAGAAACCGATGATGAAAACAAAACACCTTATCAAGGCAGATAACACCAACGAGGCACATGTTCCACATTAAAAAACGATCTATTCAAATACCTTTTGGCAAGCGTAGGCAGCGTTGTTGGACAGTGTTTGACTGCACAGGGTGATCATCAGGTATCGGTTCAGCAGCTTGTCCAACATCAGCTCCTTCAATAGAGACTCAGGAAGCAGCAAATCCCACTTCCCCATGTTACCTAGCAGCTAACAAACACAATACAAACTCCATTAACAAAGGGCAGCTGGGAAAATTTTGCATCTGCCCACATGGACAAGCTGAAACAACATAGGCTTAGAAGTGTTTGAAGCAGTACCTTAATGGCCGTCCAGAACTGCTGATCCCTGAAGTGACGCTGAGGAGACGACTTGTCTTCTAGAAGGCTGGATAAAAATAAATAAAAAATGCTTTCTGTTACAGATGCTCCCAATCAAGTGGTAAAAGAAGTAGGAAATATAAACATAAGTATTAATAAAATATATCTAAACACAAAAACTAAATCTAATAAAAGTAATAATAAAAATAAAATAAATAATAAGGACCATAGAGTCGCATGGCGCTATTTTGATTCATCTGAACAACAATTCTGTTTAATGATCGATGAGAGAACCTGAAAATATTTGCGGCTACAAAGTATGTCGGACAACATTAGTGAAATTAATGTTACACTGTCCTGAACAACGGTAACATGGAGGTAAAGCTCAACTCGCTTTCTCACCGGTAGACATTAAAACTTAACAATTAAACTCTAAGAAACAAGAAAGAAACTTACTTTTTGGGGTACAGGGGGATGAAGACGTCTTCGTCTACGCAGCTCCTCAGCCGGCGGACCACAGCTTCTATGAATGTCTGTATGGGACACACAGGATATGCAATGTGTCTTACACGTGCATTGTTATACTGGACATTGATTTACATATAATACATGCTGGCATTGTTTTTTTTATAACATGTCTTAATAGTTAGAGATTCCAAAAGTGGTGTAACTTTACTGTAACTCAAAATTTAAGGTACAAAACAAGTGTGAAATAGCAGTTCAGGATAGAAGCTGGAGAACTTTTGTGTTGGCGTTACCTTGACTGGCTTACTCTGCTCTCCTTCAAAGATGGAGTAGTCCTCCCTCAGCCTGTGACAAACATCAGACAGGCAGGTGGACTGTTTCTGGGATATGGGATCCCACACCAGCTCCACATAAGCTGCACAGACAAACAGGCACACAAGGAGAGCAGAGGCTTCAGTATTTGACTCACTTGTAGTCTAAACCCAACCTATGATCGTGTGTTGAGTGATTGTTCGAAGGTGGGTGGCTAGTAAGCATGATGAGTGGCTCAGGGGAACTGGTGGCTAACTGGCTTTTGAATGTGAAAAGGAATGATACTTTAGCAGGCAGTGGAAAAGCAGAAAGCAGAGAAACACTACTAATTACAATTTCTACAGCCCTTACCACCCTCAGTGCACTCTTCTACTTCATTTTGCAATCGAATGTGTTTGGACAAGTGCAGATAAGTTTGTGTGTGTCAGAGAGAGAAAAAGCATGTTACCGGTTATTTTGGGGACGACGGTCTTTTCTATGGTAGCAGACAGTGTCTGTCTGTCTGTGTTCTCGAGCTCCTCATGGCCATGTCCATGACAAAAGGTCTCCACTCCTGTGAACCACGGGAGGTTTTCAAAGTCTCCGCTGACATCCTGAGGCACAGACAAGCATGACTACTGTTATCATACATTGTGCAACGGCAGCTATGCGTAACTAAGCCTCTGTGTTTCTGTGTGTCCACATGTTAAGTACTTTTAAAGGGTTCCAAGCAAGAAGCTGATGCCTAATGATGGGGTTCAGCAGTTTGGGTAGGCACAGAGAGATGTAGGCGTTGTGGTAGGAGTCCGAGTAGGATCCTCTCCATTCTTCAAAGCGAGACAGAATCTTCTTAACGTTGTAGAAGTCGTCTTGGACGTCAGAAAACACTGCCTGGGACTTGGACAGGATATCAGCTGGAAGGGAGGCAGTGACAGAAAAAGCAGCAAATGGCTTACAGTCATTTTGTTGTTTCTATCTGCAAAAGGATTTTCATTATTTTACAACATAAAAAGTGGAAGAGAAACAGAAAAAACAAAGTTACAGTAAGTAGAGCACAAACTGATGCTGCAGCCTGGCAGAATTTAACTGGGTCACACTTCATAGTGATAAAGGTGAAAATACAGTCCTGATTTACAGACTGAAGTTTATAACATATAAAGAGTCAAACAGACGTAAAACCTCACCTATTTTCCTTTGCAGCTGCTCTTCCTCCTCTGGTGAAGGCTGTGTGTCTTCAGGTATAAAGTCTTCTTCAGTTTTAACATCAGTACCATCGTCACTGCAACATATATTAGAAATATCAGACCGATCTGCTTCAGAGCACAGTGGAGTACCTATTTCACAGCGTGCTCATACATCCTTTAGTAATATACACACAGAATATATTTAACATAATAATAAAAGAAGGACATTTTATCTTGGAAGGTATTTTTATTAACTCACCTCTGAGTTTCTGTTCCATTGGCTGAGCTTCCACTCCTCTCATCTTTGTTATCTACAAGTGACATCAGGCTAAAGTAAATATTGCATCCTGAGACATACTGTATCGTTACTTTTATTACACATGGACACACAGATGTCACTCACAGCTGAGCTGCTGCAGGCGATCAGCCTGCTCCTTAATCTTCTCTCGTCGCTGAGCCAACAGCATGTCCATATGGTCAGACAGCAGCATGTGCAGCTCCAGTTCCAAGGAGTTGATCTCAACAATCTAGAGTCAACCAAAGATGATGGGATTATATGTGTTATTGTGATTTTTATTTGTGGGTTTTTAAAATTTTTCTTTTTTTTTTGTGTGTTTTTGTTATTTTTTTTTATATATTATCTTTTTATATATTTTTGTTATTTTTTTTTTTTTCAGATGTTGGGCAGGTTCCCTCCGGGTGGGGTTATTTTCCGGTTAATAAATGAAGTTGGCAGTGTTCTCAGGTTGACAATATATGTAATGCTGGCTCAGTCTTAATTACCTAAAACCTTGTTTAGCATTTCTATCCTACTGTTTTTTTTACTAACACCAAATATATATACAGGTACAGATATATCAGCAATAAGATAATATTGGCAGTCAGTCAACTGTCATTGATTTCCTAAGTGACAAAGGTACCTCCCTGTTTCTTACATATTTTTCACAGTATGAAGTATAACCAGAACTATTTATACAGGCTGTTTGACAGCACTGTCTGAATATAAAAAGTTTTAGATGGAGAACAAGATACAACAGAAAAAATATACCTGTTGTATAACTTGTGTTAATATTATAAATACATGTGATATAATTACACAAATTAAAATGATCATATATTTGATTAGAACTTACTTTTGGGCCTTGCAACCTACATACACTCTATAAAATACTATAATTATCTCAGAAAGATAGAATTTAAGGTTCTTTTATCTTACCTTTATCAAAAATCTCACATATATGCCTTCATATAGTAGTTAATAGTTCAGAAGCAGATCAGATGTGTTAAATTCTGACCTTCTCCTGCAGACACTCCACCAGGTTGTGGACATAGAGGGTCATGGTCCTGTAAAACTTCAGCTGGCCCTCTGACGAACCTTCCTCCAGGGTCTCCAAGGACGTTTTAGCGCTCTCAACATCGCCCTCCATCCTCCTCAGGTCTGCCTGCCGTGCTCTGTGCACCTCTTTCAAGGAGTCGAGTCTAGAGAGAGCAAAATGAAAATCAGAAAGAGGCTTAAGTGTGAAATGAGGAAAACTTGTCCTGCATTTTTAACAAAATCGTACAGATGGTCAATTAAGCAATGTGGAGCAATGCATCAGGGAATACGGCTTTAATTCATGTTTATTCCTGAGTTCAACAGTTGATCCAAATCTATGATAGAACTAATATTTCGAAATGTTATGGTGCAGTATTAAAAGCAAACACAGCTAGAAGAAACTGACTTTCCAGTGATCCTTCTCTTGACCATTGAGACGGTGACGGGAGGAAGAGTCTTTGGGATTCTGGCCTTTGCCAATCGCTTCTTTTGTCTTCCTCTGTCTTGCCTGCTGCTGCTACTGTTGCTGTAGCTGCTGGACTCACTGCCAGATGGACTCTGAGGAGAAGAAAACAGGAAGATAAAAGGGTGTCAAAGATGCACAACAGAGGAGGCCAGCTACACGGTTAAGAGGCAGGAAAGAGAACCCAACTTTATATTAAACAAGACAGCAGCACAGAAGTAATCACACAGTGGGAAACGATGGATAAATCCCACCAGACAGACAGAGGACATTTTTAAATCAATAAGGAAACATGCAACTAAAGAGACATAAAAACATGAACAATGCCTAATGGAGCCTCCTACCTGTTCGCCTGGTCGTCTCTTGACTCCCTTCCCAATTTGTGTTTCCTCCCAAAGCTCCTGCTCTTCCTCATCAGATCCTGAGAGGCTGCCATCACTTCCTCCTAGAGTATATGAAAATACACACAATAAAACAGTTCATATTCTCACAGTTTGTTTCAAACCAAGCAGAACTATGTAGGCAAACCTATTGTGATGTAAACTTAACCCTTGCTTTTCCCCTTTCATTTTGGCTTATGCAGCTTTTATCATTTAACTACTTACTGTTTGACAATATCAACTGCTCCACCTCTTCATTAAACTATCTGTTTATGAGAGTTTCATCTTATTCTGCCTGATTTATATTCTGGCACCTTTCTCATTGTTATTTTGATCGACCCCAGAGAGTTTTTATCAACATATAAAAAAGGGAAATAGTTGTCTGGAGCATTATTTTATGCAAATTTGGAGTCTACGATATAATTTTAACATGTCTCATTTTCCTCTGCCTATCCTCCTCTTCCCTGATCTATATTCGCCCTCTTTCTTCTTCTCTCTCCACACCTCCACTACTGACATCTCCTTCTTTCTACCCTCCACACCCTATGTTTCCTTTCTCCCCTCCCTCTCATACCCAGCTTTTCAGCAATCCTTTCCCTGATGCTCTTCAATCGTGGGGCGAACTCAATTCTTCTCTCGTGATCATCTGGCTCGTCGTCATCATCATCAACTCTGTCGTCTTCATCTTCCCTGCTGTAGTGATCTGGGGTGCTGCCAGCCGAGCTCCGGCCATCTCTACCCAGGGGAATGTACTCTTTCCGGGCTCGAGTGGCACGACGCTGCCTCCTGGCTGCTTTGATCTCGTCGGCATTAGGGATAATTACTGCAGCCAAAAACAAATCCACAGACATGAATGCACAAACATGCATGCAGATAAACACGCAGCCAAAGGGCAGTGGGCACTTTGTCCAAATCATGCAGCCCTAATGAGCAGTGTGTGCAACATGCCAAAACCTTTAGTGAGCACCATCTGTACATTTAAAAACAGACAAATGCACAAACTTTTGCACTTTGAAAAACCTACAGTATACACCCACATAAACACATACCTGGTTTAGCAGCAGAGCAGCTGGAGTCTGTGGCTGAGCTAGCTGAGGGAGACCTGTTGCCACCTTCTTCACTGTCACTGTCACTGTCATAATTGTTAGCATTAGCATTATCATCGTCGTCGTCGTCATCATCATCATCATCATCGTCATCGTCTTTCTCATCCTCACTATGGTGCAGAGACTGTGGTGAAGCTTGACTGCCATAATCTTTCCTGGGAGAATTAGATGATGGGACTGAGGCTGTAGGAGAGCAGAGGGAGACATGCAAAAGCAAAAATGATGCAGATATTGACCACCACAATCACAGTGTCATTACATAATTACCAAAGTATGAAAACCTATCTTTAGATTTATTCAGTCGTGTTAAGATTGTTCGCTGAAACCTTATAAAAAGTTAAATTTCTCTATACTTACCAAATTCTCTTTGTCTTTGCTCATGTGCTAATGTTTTTCCTACCATTCCATGAATACCTAAATGCATATGTCATACTATACTACAGCTGCATTTTTTTTATCTGAATATTCACTCAGCTGCCCATTTATTAGGTACACTGCTGGTCAATACAAATCAACGCAAAGTTGTCTGAAGTGATCACCCGTGAAAACATTTTATCCTCTTGAAAGCGTTCTCTTCCAGGGTGACAGTGCCCCTAAGAATTAATCACTCAATGGTTTGAAGAGTACGGAAAAACTGCAACCTTGCAGTCACCAGATCTTGACTCAATTTAACATCTGTGAGAGATTTTGGCCTGACATGTTAAACAGCACTCTCTACCAGCATCACCAAAACAACAGACGAGCAAGTATCTGGTGTTCCCTCTCTCCACTACAAAAGCAAATTGAGGCTGTTGTAGTGACCAAATGGTGACCCAAAACCTTACTAGGACACTTGACATTGATGTTTCCTTTAATTTGTCATTCAGCTTCAGATATTGTGGCTGCTCAGTGACCCTGGCTTTGTTCACATTGTACACATGTAAAGTGTATTTAATGTATGTACACTATATGCCAGATCTGTATCTAATTTACTTAATATGTTCCAGTCTTGAACCTACCTCTGCTGTGTCTGGACTTAGCAGGTAGAGCCTCCTTCTTCCTGACCTGGAACAGTACCGCTTTATCAGATGACTTCTTCAACTTAAATGTTGATTCTCCAGCTATAACAATAAAGAGAAACCAGAGATACATGAGGTTACATAAATCCCCCAGCATCACCCACCACCCTTCACCCTACAGTACATAGAGGTCTGTGGGATGCACAAGCAATTGAAAAACTGACTGGTGGCAAAATCACACACCAACAACTCAGATCAAACACATTTAGTCACTGCGTTTTTGTTTTTTAGGACCTTCCACACAAACTACAAATCATACATCATACCATCTTTCATTCTGACAGATTAGAACACTTAAAGATTGTCTTTGTCTCTTCAATGTTTACACATGTTTTCATAGTCACCTTCTTTCTCGTCGGAGAAGCTAAGGATGGCGTTTGATTTCTTCTTAAGTCCCTCTTTCTCTATTTTGTTCTCATCTCCTTCCTCTGTCACCTCCAACGTCTCCTCGTCTTCTCCGTCACTGCTGTCCGACTTCGGAGGCGTCGCTTCCCGCTTGGAGCTGCATGAGATGCCGCGGGCCTGTGCCACTTTAGACGGCTTATTTAGCACCGCTGGAGTAGCTTTCTCGTTTTCGTCTCCTTCTCCGCTGTTCTTCGGCCGGTCTTCATCGTCGCTGGAGCTGTCTTTTCTCTGCCGAAAGTTTCTTCGGGGTTTCTTGTTGAACATTTTTTGCTCCACTTGCCAGGGAGGTTGCGACTGTAAACTAGACGTAAATCGCCGTGCGTCGCGTCGTAAAACGATCGAAAACGTCGCAAAGCTGCCGCAATGCACCACGGATAATGGAGTCAGCATAGAAGCCGGTACGTATAGGGCTAACCAAATGGGGAAAAAAAGGAATAAAAGTTATTTTTTTGCATTTTTTTCATTATTTTAGATTTTCTTACTGTGGATTTAAAATGTTTTCATGTTTAGTAGAAAACTGTACTGTTCGAAGCCGTACTGTTTAGCAGTTAGGCCACCTGTTCTACGACTAAGCAGCTATAATATTCAGGAGAAATTAATAATGCATGTCTGTTGGCTTAGGATAGTGGTGTAAACAATGACATATACTCAGGTTAGGTTAATATAAGTGTCTCTGGAATCTGTAAAGATATCGCCTTGTAGCAACGTTACGGGTAACTTAAGTCAAGACAGGACTTAAAGTGAAAAAGTGACCGTAGTTAACGTGTTGCTTTCTGCCTTATCTATCTCCCATCCGCCCTCCCATCAATTGTTCTCCTTCTCCATCTGTTCAACTTTTATTCCTCTCCCTTTCTCTCTGTCTCTCTCTCCTCCCACCCAGCGGCCGGTCGGTCGGTCGGACGGACGTTAACAGCGCCCCGCAGTCTCCGCTCAGTCGTCGTCAGCCATGTTGTTGGTGTGACACACCGAGCTGTCAGCAACAGGTTCTCTGGGCGCTAACACCCACAAACTAGACATTTCTCCGACGACTGCGGCTCTCCTCGGATACTAAACTTCACAGTGTGTCCGGGAAAGCGTCCAGAAGTGGCGGAGGATCATTTCGGGCCCTTCGAAAGCTTCGAAAGTTGCTGTTTTCTGGCCGCCGTGAAAGAGGTACGCAAGCGAAACTGCTTATCTAAGCATGAGTGCAACTTTAATATTGTCATTTTAATGCGAGTATATATCAACTTCTGGGTTCCACATAAGCTGAAAGTGTTGTTTTGCCTGTTTACGTTTGTTTGTGTGTGTTTTTTAACTTGGGAAAAGTGTATCTTTGAAGGGGTGATGCTTGTGTGTTGGTCCCACAACAAGCTGGAGTTGGGGCAGCTAGCTAAGTTGAGCCTTCATCAGATGTTGGGTTTATGGACACCCAGATGTGAGGGATCGGTGCTGCTTCTGGACAGTTTGTAAAAGCAGATTTGCAGGAAAGTCTCCTAAATTCTTCTCGGTTCAAACTAGTTGAGCAGGTTGCAGGCAGGCAGGTCCCGGTGGCTGGTGACAAGTGATCAGGGAGTGTAACCCTATCAGTTGATCTGCAGACACACATCGAGCTGGAACACATCTGAGATTGTGAATAAGATGCACAATTGTGTCTTAGGTCTGACTTTTTTGGCATATTTGGAGCACCCCTCTAATATAAAGGATGTCAACTTTTCTGATGTTCAGAGACAGTATTAAATGAGCATCACTTTTAGCACCATTGAAAGTTACAGGCAACAGAATTACTGAAGTTATTCTCAATATTTATATATTTTCAGCAATATTTCATAACAAATGTTGATAGGATTTTAGCTCACTTACTGTACAGTACTGTAATGCATAGATTTAGGATTGACACTCCCATTTTTTTAGCATCTGTCCTTTTTTTCTACTAAGTAGAACTGAACAGTAAGCAAAGAAAGAACTATTGCAATTATTTGTGACAGATATTGTGATATGTGTCACTGTGTTTCCGTGGGAGTGGCTATTTTTGCATTTCTTTTCCACTGGAAAAAATACAAAAATGATGATGTGATTTTTGCTGCAGTCTGCACCAAACCAACATTTCCCTTTATGTCTGGAGAATATCATTTGGAGGCCAGAGCATCTCAGTAGGACCACAATGCTTAATGCTGATTGTATTTTGTGACAAGTTTTTACCTTTTAAAAAACAATTGCTCCACCTACAATTTGGATGTTGCTCTCGGCCATCCTGTGGTTTTGCTAAAATGTTGGTTAATTATTCCGCCCTGCAGCAAAGAGCACAAGGAAGTTCAGTATTATTATAGAAAAAACAGCAAGATTGTTTTTGCATTATGCGTTTTAATCGTCTTTCCTTCAGTAATTTTCCTACACCGCAGGCTGCTGGTTAGAAAGCTACCCAGTCTAGCACAGGAGCACTAAATACACATCATCATTACTATTAGTCTCACCAGTGATCCACTCCGATGCAAATCCTAAACAGTTATTGCCACTGGCACTGGTAAGGTGACTGGTCTGGTGTTCCTCTACAGTGAAGCTCAAGGGTTTCATATTTTCAATATGCTTGTCAGTCACTATTAGAGAGTTTCCATGGAAAATAAATAAGGATACAGAGGATGCTGGAGTGCAGTGGGCACTTTGAAGGACCTGAAATACATGCAGATTGTAGCTGCTGTTCTGCTTATAAAAGACAAAATCCACCAGCCAGCTATGTGTATTAGTGGTTGATATGTTTGTGTTTCATCTGCTCTCACACACCTGCTGTATACATGCACCGTGTGGCGCTTGGGCTGATGTTTGGCAGGCTGCAGTCCATTCAGCTCCTCTGTGATTGTCATCCCACTTGCAGCAGCCTAATCTGTTTTCATTCAGCTTGTAGTAGCTATATGATTAACAGTGTTAGTTTGACATTCATCAGATGTAAGGTTTAGTCATTTTATCTTTATTTGAACTTCAGCTAAGTCGACAGAGAATGATGACACATCTGCACATTTGACTATCAAATAACAGTTTATCAGAGGACTTTCTTCAGTCCTGTCATATCCTGCTATACAGACAAATCAGGGCAGGTCAAAGCAGACTCAAGGAGGGAGAGGCAAGCCTTGCCTCTTAAGAAAACAAAAGCTAGCACTACAAACAGATTTACTCAAACCCAGTCTCTCTGAATGTGCAAACGCCACTGGTGGATGGGTTATTTATTACAGAGTGGGTGGATGTATTCTGCTGAAATATCACTTCAGCTCGGCCACCTGAAGCGTTATCTCTGTGGTGGAGAGGAGTCAGAAAGAACAAAATAATAACACAGCGGAGGGGAGAATTAGTGATGAAAGAGATGGACAGGCAAAGGAGCATGGGTAATTTCACTGTATACAAAGACAAACACAGAGAGGGAGAAAGAGAGTCATCGGACAGAAACAGAACAGTGGTTGAAGTTGATGTCATTGGTGTGAGGTCAGTGAGCGAGGCGGCTGAAAATCAATCATTTCTTAGAACAACAGTAGCCAAACAGGCAGTGCTTGTTTCTGAACTGAGTAGTAACGAGGACAGGCCTCGGTCGCAAAACTGGTAGGGTATAGTTGTAGATGGAGACAGAGATCAGGAAAATAAGAACTGTCCGAAAGATAGTCAGGGAATGAGGAAATGGCAACACTAGGTAGAGGAGAAAAATGTTTTTTTTCCCCTCCGTGTCATCCATCTCTGTCTGGTTCTTTATGATGTTCTATATTTCCTTGTTTTGTGTGTGTGTGTAAAACAAGGTCTGATGGCAGCAAGGTAAAAGTGCACTTTAAACTGAGCATAAAGGATACACAGACAGATGCACTCAGAGAGAGAGAGAGTTAGACCCACAGGGCTCAAAGCTGCTACTGAAGGAGCTCAGGTCAGGGACAGCCGAGCTATTTATCCAACAGTTTTCAGTGTTGTATGTACTAACTGAGAGACAGAAATGTCCCAGTCTTTCAACAAGGTCCAAAGCAGAACTGAAGCAGGTGAGGTCTGACCGATGAAGCCAAACCAGAAATGAAAAGATAGACCACACTCTTAGGAAGTGTGTTATTTCTTTATACCACCACCTTCCAGTCAGGCATAAATTCAGCATTTAGTGGTACTCGCCGACCTTGCAAAATAGTTCAGAATAGTCATTATTGGTCCAAAGAAAATGTGCAGAAGAATGTAGTTTGCAGTTTGCATGATCTTATTAGACTCAACAGTTGGTGTAAGTACGAGGAAAAAACTCCTAATTTTATCAATTATTTTATACAGATGGTGCACTGTTTAATACTCGAGACACAAACTGGGGTAAATATGTAAATTGCCCCCCTCTTTCTGGTCAGACTACTTGTCTGTGATTCCTCCTTACTGTATTGCCAGCAGCTGGTCAAACAGTCTTTTCATCTGTCCTGTGCACCTCTACAATTACGCTTCATCTACAACTGGTAGTTACATGTAATCTGCATCCAGGTCTGGCTGTCTGGATAAATGATGCAGAAAAATCTTATTATTATATATTTCAGTGAGTCCTAATAACTCTCAGAACAGAGACCTCTGACATATTTGTAAGTCAAGTCCAAAGAGCAAACCATATATATATTCAGTACATAGACACAAACATTTAGTTGGTTGCAATCTCCATAAGTGACGAGTCGGTCTCTTCCCAGATTCAACGTTAGATCTCTGAGGGCGAAGCCTGTTGAAGTATTATTTAGTGCTGTCAAAAAATCAGATTTTCACTACACCAATACCAAGGTCAGAAGAATTTACATATTTATTATTACAATATCTCTTAAAAAATTGAAGAATAACTGCTGAAAATTAATTTTTAACTTGGTTTATTGTGTTTGGTCCCTTTTTTGTTTAATGATTTACACACAAATATGAGTATAGGGAGGTGAATTTTTAACATGATGTCAATATTAAATTTTTTATTTTTTCACATCTCACGGTTATCGTCAATACCCGTGTATCACAGCACACCTAGTATCATTTAGTGCACAGTAGTAATCTAGGGTTATGGACGTTATTGTCACTGTGTGAGTAGGTGTTGACAACTGTCAGTTATAGTAAGTATGCTTGCATGTTTCACCACCTCTGCATGACTGTGCAAGTGCCGTTTCATAAACTACAAGTTGGGACACAGCATGAGTCATATATCTATTTATGTACTGAGCAGTGACAACAGTGATGGGAATATTACAAATGTGTGGGCTTTCACACAGTCGACATGGGTTCACAGCTTGGAAAGTAAGAAAAACTGTTCTACCTTAGAACATGTTTAAACAGAGCCTGGTATTTACAAAAACTGATCTAAGTTTTCAAAAATAACATTGTTCACACCAGATTCCAAAAAGTATTTGTTTACACAAACCCATAAACACGTCGTTAAGAGCTGCTATGAGCCAAACCTATAGGGGGCAGTGTGCCAAGATGCATAAAGCCATGCTAGCCAATCAGAATCCTGGAAAAAACACAACAACAAATGGCACAAATTACTTCCTGTTACTTCAACAATGATGCAGCGAGGGTTGTTTGTTTGGCCCAACGAAGCTACTCCTAAATGTGGTGTTAGACTACAAAACAAGTCAAATACTTGAAAATATTGATTTTATTTCTGAATGTACATACAAACAGGCCAAAGCGTTTGCACAAACGTAAAAACAAGCACTGCTTTAACAGCATCCATTTCTATCACAGTAGCCAAACTGTAAACATGGTCGCACACATACGATGCTGATGACGCTTTTGTCGCACACTGTCACATCAAACTCCGTCTCCTTCTGTCTACATGCAAACATCAAGACAGAGTTTTTCCAAATCTCTTCTTTGGCCGGAGTTTTTGTATTTCAGCGTTTTCGGTGACTTGCAGCTTAATTTACGTGTAAACCAAAGGCCCAAACGCATTGAAACATCACCGTTTTTGCTACGTGTAAATGGGGCCTTAGTCTTACACTGTCTGAGGTTTGACAGATTGTATTTCATCTTTCAAATTTGAGTTACATACAGCAAAAAGCATCAATTATCTGAATTTTTTTTATGAACTACAAAAATCTAGTAATTTTTTCAACCCTTGTGGATTTGTCTATCCATATACAGTAAATTCAATGTAGCATCATTCATTAGTACAGCTAGAATTGGGCGGAAGTCAAAGTGTTGCTCAT